AGGTCACACAGCAAAAGAACAGATGGCTTCGATGAAGAAAAGAAGAAAATAAGTAAACTGAATAAAGAAGGCCTGCGTCTATAAAGCACTTAAAACGGACGTATAAGAATTCGCATGAAATAAGAACAGCACATTTTCATTCTAAAGAAACATAAAATGCAAGAGAATTACTTCATTACGTCTACTATGCAACAACAGTGACACGAGCCCAGGCCTCAGAGAACGTCGTCCCTTTCTGTTCTCTTTATCTATTGCTCAACAAAACTTAGCTTCAGCCGACTAAGTGCTTTCCTGCTTGGCACAGTTAGCATCACTACGTCGATTATGGTACATCGGGTTTCATGCTCGATATAAAGAAACCACACATGCCCCTTCCCCTACAAAACCCGCCTCATTTCCAATTTCTACTTCTAAGCAAGGCCTCACCTTCCAGTTCCTTCCTCTTCGTTATAGCCCCCGAGACCTAAACCACCACTCCCGATCCTCCCCCTCCTATCCCAGTCATTTTAACTCGCCTTGCGACCTGGCGGGAATAACCTTTGGTAGTTGCCATCTCAATGCAATGTGCACACAGATAAAGAACGATCGCTCTTCACCTGCACCTGCTCAATGCCAACATGGATTACCAGCAATCGCCAGCGAAACCGCTACGATATATTCATCATGGAACTATTTTAAAGCAGTATTTTAGTCCAGAATCTACGAAGGGGAACATTCCAGCTTCGGCTCTGAAAAAGAACACTTCCCACCGATAAATTCTAGAACACAGCAAACCTGTTTGGTCCCTGGGATACATATCAACCGAGAATAGCTGTATGCAATATATTATTTTTGTACTAACCCCATGCTTAGAAAAAGACAACTTTACAAAAGTGGTCCCATTTCTAAAACTGCACTGTGCCAATAAAGTTGAATTATTTACTTTCACAGCGAAGGCCCAAGCACTTTTAACACGCAGCGTCCAAAACATTGAGGTGTGTTTTTTTAAAGCATGGGATAAAGCTCATCAACAATGACTGGAATGAATGTACATGTTCAGATCAGAAAGAAACTGAGCCTCGTCATCAGTGAATGGACGAAACATTGGAATTGGACATCGTTCATGCACACTATGGATGTGCTCCAAATTTTTCTGGACATATTCGATACATTCGTCCAAATCTGTGCATTCTGCTTGCGACCGACCATTGCACCGTTCCTCACCATTCAAAGATGCACCAAGATGTTGATAAGCATAATAGCACCGAGTTACGAGATCCGTCAGTTCTGCCTAAAAATAAAACGCTTCTGCAGACGCTAAGTAGTTAGACGCGTCTCAAACACTCAAATAACATGAAAAATATAAACAGCGGCGCACACCGGGGTAGCCGTTTTTTGTACATGCATTTTGTGCAATTTCGACCAGCAGACGTTTGCCTCCAAAGATTTTTCACTGTTTTAAACTTTGAAAAAGTAGTCGATATGTTGTTTAGTTTCCAAGCTGCGAAATTTCCGATTGACAATTCCACGTATCAGTACGTGAAGAGCAAACGTACGTGAAAGCTGGATTTGAAACTTTAGATGGTGAATACTGTTTCAAAATTTTAACCTCCTTGTTCTCTGGGTCCCGAGTAACTTTCACGCGATCGTGCGTGGGACCTCGTCAAACCTGGGAGCTAAGTTTGAGTTCTTCACCCCCTGCACAAGCAGAAAACATTTTCCCGAATTTTTCAGCCTCCGAGCTCTTCTCGCCCCCGAGACAATAATTACTCCCGCCAAAACTCCCACGAGGCCGTACCTGGGGCCCAGATCTACATGAAGCTGAATTTGAATTTGTGGCTTTGCACATGGGCAGAGGCTTCCTTGCCCTAAAATCCCAAAATCTCAGCCACGTTGCTTTTGTGATTCATGAAATAGCAGTTTCCTTTGCCACAACATCTGTGGGGCCACACATGGTACCCGAAGACAAGAGAAGGCTGAATTTAAACCCGAAGGGCGATATGTAGGCGAGAAATATTCAACCAAACTTCCAGCTCCCCAGCTTCTACAGTTCCCGAGATAATTCTCCCAGCCAAAACCTTCGCGAGGCCATACGTGGTACCCTGGGGGTACAACAAGGTTGAATTTAAGCTTGCGGGTTTGCATGTGGGCGGGAAATGTTCCACTAAAATCCCAGCTTCATAGCCTTTCCGGTTCCCGAGTTGAAACCACCGGATAAAATGCACTCGAAACACACACACAGTGTCTCGACAATATACGTTTTTATGCGTTTTTGCATAATATGCAAATGCGAAAACGCATATTGCGACGACCCCGGTGTGTGTATGTGTGTGTGTGTGTATGTGTGTGTGTATATGTGTGTGTGTGCGTGCGCGCGTGTGTGCGCGCGTCTGTCCGGGTATTTCAACTCGGCATCTAAGCAAGCTCCAGCGCCAAAATTTTGTGAGTGGGTTCCCCGGCCAAGTGCCACCCCAGGACCGCGATACCAACCCTCAGGCACGTCTAGGCCCCGCGCGCGAGCGCCTCAAAGTTTTGGCAGGGAAATCGCTAACTCGAGAACCAGAAAAGCTAGAAAGCTGGAATTTTGGGATTATGTCCCCAGCCCAAGTAGAGCTCAAAGATTTCAAATTCAGCTTCCGGGAGTTCGTGGTTCCCGCGTACGGCCCCCT